TTTTTTATTGTTAAATTTTAGTTATATTAATATAAAAATATAAATTTTTATTATTTATTTATTAAATTTAATAAAATCTTGATTTTACCGATTCAATTTTATGATTCTGATTTTATTTACCTAAAACGATTTTAGGTAAAATCTCGATTTTGACAACCTTGTTATGAGTTAATAGTGGATTTTTAACGGAAGGATCAAGTTGGAATTAAATTGATAAACAGTAAAAATCAAATCAAAGATTTTTTAAGATTATGAACCAAATTTGAGAAGTTTGTACAATAATTCAAAAATCAAATGGGGTTTTAACCTAATTTCAAAGACTCTCTTTTGACTCTATATTCTTCATTCTTCATCACATCTTAATATTCTCCCAGTACTCACCTTCCCCACGTCCCAACTTGCCGCGTAGCATTATCTCTTCGCTCATGATATTCTCGAAGCTCCACAACATTGTAAGGTCGAGGTATGGCGCATGAAACTGTATCACCGGGAGAAGTCACCAGGGTCTCTGCTATAAACTTTTACCAGTTTTCACTTTCAAGACACCATTGTCTCATGACAGTGCTCTACGGCTCTTAGTAATGATTGTTGGGAATTTTGAGCATTATAATCCCACACTAACAGAAGTAATAAAGAATTTGATACAATAATTTAATATGATTTGATTTATATACCTTTCAACAATTCTAGGTTTGTAGGAAAGAGAAATAAATTCACTACTAAAAAAATAGTAATAATTTAGAACTAAACACTTTTATTTAAAAAAGTCTCAACACCCTAATATCAATATATAAAAACTTCCAAATTGCTCCTAATACTTTCTCTCAATGTTCACAAGGCTTATCTCACAATTTTTCTCTTTCTTTTCTCCCACAAGGGCACTTATTCACTTAGCTCTTCTCAATTTCTCTTGCTTGCTACCTTTAGCTTTGCATGGGTATTTATAGGGAGAGAGCCAACCACCCGTGCACCTTTTTCTTTGCCTCATCAATGAGGTCATGCAATTTTGCAGGATTTCAACCAGGGCAATTCCTAGCCTACAACTAGCTAAGTCAGTGAAGAGATTTTACCACATGGAAAGTCCATGTGTTCACAAGGGGGAACATTTTGTCAACAACACTCTCGAGTTCCGAGTACTCGTCTACCACATGGAACATGTAATCGTAGACATAATCCATCTTCAAGTCCTCCTGGACAAGTTTGGTGGCAGTCTCTCCAATGGTCATAGCCTCCTCCGCATGAGTGTTGCCCCATTCAACGGCAAACTTGAGTGAAGCACACATGGTGTCGTCTCTGATAGGCCAATCGTGCTGTAGTGGCTGCATCCGTCTCCTGAAGAAGTCGAAGTAGCTAGATTTTATGTACAAGGTCATAGAATCACAGGCTAGAATATATTTTTCACTGACAGATCATGCCCATTCTTCTACTTATATCTTGTATCTGTTAGTAAAAGTTGAACTTAATTATTTTCTAATTTTGCTAATAAGAAATTTAACTAATTCAAGTGCAAAACACGGAGATGATTAATTATAATTACCTGCGGGTACATTGGTCTTCTATATTTGAGTGTTTGAACGCCAGTTTTTTTTCCTGTTTCCAATCCTAAAAGAAACTAATGCAATTAAGAAATTTTTGAGTGAAAAATAAGTGCCCTATTTTGTAGTCCAGCGTTGTTTTACAATTCAGTGCAATTTGAATTCCAAAACAGGAACCATTGAATGGCAAGGCAGCTTATCCCCATCCAATAGTTTTATGTTTTGGTTGAAAAATTAAAACAAGAAAAGCAACCAATACAATAATGAAAGAACTTACTTGGACATAGACGTGGGTGTTCCAGTCATTCTCTTCAGAGACATTCACTTCATAACAAGGTCCCTCTTGATCCGGGCAAATGTTGTTTCACCACTCCAGCAAGCATAGGGCAGTCTGTCCTTCCATTTGATTCTCTTATTACTTTCTTTTATATCCTTCAACGTATTCTTCCATGGCCTTGTATTTTTCTCTGCCCTACATGAAGGAATGAATTAAAGATTAACTCTAGAATTCCAAAGGAAAATGAAATATAATTTTTTTATGAGGTTTTCATCCTTAGCGACCGCATGAGCTTAAACTCTTGAGATTAACCCAAGCCAACATTTTGAAATTAGTGGGCATAACTCAAATAAACAGACAAAATTAATCAATGATATTATTACCAGCTCCAGAAGGACCAATC